ACTACAGCGTCAAGATGATGATAAGAAATGAACAAATGGAAACCGCACATTGCGTTCAATTGCAAAGTGCTGCAGGGCTGTGGGCCGCATTATGGCTTTAACTGGAGGCTGCAGGGAAAAAAAAAGAGGCTTGGCTTGAAAGTCGAAGAGATAATCTCCTGTATCATCACCTCGGGCCCAAACAGGCTGCCTGATCCATGGGCACACATGGGACGCGACACGTCCGCTCGCTGTGCCAATGTCCTAATCACGCAGCGCCGGATCGTGTGCACGAAATGAAACAGTCGCTCGTGAAGCGGCGTGGCTATCCGAACGCCTATTATTATTATCGCGGGCGCCGGCAAAATCCCCCACCGTTTGTGAGGCACACAATCCTATCTCTGTTCCATCTGCCCCTGGGACGTCCCAGAACGCTTTGTGTGTGTGTGGTGTGTGTGTGGACAAATCCCAAGCCTGCTGCCACATTTGCGCATGCTGCAGCAATGCTAAAGTGACATTGAGCCTCGCCAAAGCAATTCCTCCCCCACCCCATCTCCACGCCTCGTGGTTGCGGCTTGCAAAAGTCGGTTGCGTTGGAGAGCTTCGCTCTCTCAAGATGGAGAGCGAGCCGAGTGTCAATTATTGGCGCTTATTATTAGGGGCCTTGCTTTTGGCTGAGCATTCTTCTCGAGGCTAATGTGCCATCAAGGTCCTTCCAAATAGCGTCTGAGAAAGACAACTGCATTGCTGGTCACTGCGGAGAGCTCATATTACCAATGAGCATGCTTTCGTAATTGTTCCATTTCATCTCTATGAAACAATGTTTTTTTTTTCCCCAGGTTTCCGTACCCACCCACCCCACCCCTTACGAGACGTTTGTATTTATCGTTTATTAGCAACAGTTGCATTGTTGTTGTTAAAAATATATATTATGGGATGTAAAAACTTCCCTGTCAACCCCTAATCAGTGCCCTACCATATTCCAGACCAATTCAGACCTTATTGGTCACCCGTGCCCTTATAAATCTCAACGCTCATCCTACAAAATCCTATCACAAGGGAGAAACACAACACAAATAGACAAAACTGTTTTTCTCGTATTGAAACGGCTGTACGCCGTATAGACCTGAAAACTACATTTTCCTGTACAAGAATACGGGTTAAACCGTATGGGTTAACAGGGATGTAAGATCACAAACCGGTCTAAATGATTGCATTCAGTACAGAAGCAAAACAAAAAGATCATGCAGCGGTGTAGAGTTGAGCAATTACTACTTTTGAAAAGTATACAAACTCAACAAAAACACATCCCTCTAGTGCGATAACATTTTCCAACGGAGCACACTTGTCATTCACGAGTTTGGGCTGTTGAACGCTACTTTAATCGACGAAGCACACAGCTGTGATTATTTAAGATATATATTTTTTCTCTCCCTCTGTCATTGCCAGGGTCCCTTCTAGGTTAACCGTATTGACACGAGGCTCTTAATTGGCATGTTGATGCTCGACATGATAGCTTCTCATTAGCCCTTCAAATAAGGCGCCGTACAAACTCATTCTTGATGGACACGCGGTAAAAGTGGCCAGCTGTATATTGTAGCCATTAAGAGAACAAGACAAAAACGCATTCATTTTGCGTTTCTGAAAATCTCATTCTCCACGTGCAGACTAATGGGTCGCTGTCCGTGACCTCAAAGTCGTCTAGTGACATATCAGATATATGATAAAGGAAATTTTCTAAAAGGGAATGTAATCCGATACGTAATTGTATTGTTCAGCACAGCGATATTTTCAGTGTCTTATATTCTCTGGGGTAATAAACGTGTTCTCGTATTGTGCTCCACATTTGAAGCAACATTTCGGTGTGCCACTTTGAAGCGGAAACAGAAATTACAATTTGATGACGCGAACGGGCAGCATAAAACCTCGCCTTTGTGAACTCTGCATCGTTGTGGAGAAGCAATTTCGCAGGAATGAGTCTTTAACCTTCTTCGTCAATGTTTCCATTCATTCCAAAATGTGTCGATGCAGCACAGGAAGGTGCCACAATCACGTAGTCTGTAGTACCACCAACTTCAGACCACCACCTAAACAGCTCCAGTATATGGAGGCGTGCCGAGTCTTCAACCAGACACAAATCTGGCGAGGTGCCCAATAAATTAGCGTTTTGTAGCAACACAATTTTAAGTGAATATCAAACTGGCGGCCTGTGCAATGTAACAGGAACGATCATGCATACAGAATGATTATGTTGAGGAATTGAATTGGCAATGCATAACGGTGGCACTCCTGCCATGCGTCGCCTATAGGCCGTGCCGCTACCACGCCGTTTGCATAGCGGTCCTGCCCGGGAGAGGGTGCCGTAGCAGGCAGGATTGCGATACCACGGAGGGTCCATTTACCACCAGTTTGTGGCTTTAAACATCTTGGGCAAGTCTGTGATCAATTCGAATAGCAACAGAACTTTAAACTTCCATTGGTATTGGATATTTTTTGTTACAGTTATCATACCCCCCCCCCCGGGCTTTACGGATAGACAGATAGACTGTGAAACGCATGTTTTCAATCTTAGCTGGAAATAATACAAACGTAGGCTTCACGTGTTTTGGGAAAAGCACGTTTTCATTTAAAGAGTCCTGAAGTATGCATTGTAAATGATAAAACATAAAGTAGAAATGTTCTGCATTTCCCAGCGACAACTTATAATACCTTAATGAGAATAGGGACATAACGTGCATTATTCAAACTACAGCCCTTTGTCAGCCGACTGCATGGTGAAGAGCTTCTCACTCTGATTTAGTCTTGAAAGCTGCTTGACCATACTTCACCACACTGATCAGTGTGACGAACTGGTGGGGCGTCCCAGACTGATTTGTCACTTGCAAGTGATGCTAGCCATGCTTGGTAATCAAACTCGGGTTGCAACGTTTCCATCCCAGTGCCTAACCACTGCGCCACCACTCTATCCGACTAAATGCGTAACTAGCTTTTTCTGAAAAAACTTCGGTGAACAGTCCACCATACTATTTAGTATTTTCTATCTACGTGACTTTACCGAAAGACCCAAAGAGTATTCAAACATGTTCACGGGTAAAAGCATACGCAACAAAAAAATACTCCCGGGGAGATCTGATTAAAAGTCCAACAGGCAACAAACTTGAGGAATTGCTGTTTGCAAACTCTAGGTGCATCACAGGCTTTTTTTATTACTATTTTATTTTGCCACAAACCCGAGATTGGAGAAAGAAATGAGGCTCGCTCGCACACGCAGTCGGTGAAGGAAGCGAAATTAGTCTCACATTGCACGCGCCTCGATAGCTCGCCGGCAATGAATTCCATTTCACTCGGCGATATGAGAATCTGCCCCATTGACTTGGGCTCTAAATTAGCTTGCCCGAGTCCCTCAGACGTGCTCAATTATCCGCTGGGCCAAAGCTTCAAATTCTACCCTACGATGTCACTTCTCGTTCACTCTGTGAATTTATTTCGAGGATATATGAATATTGTCGACTATAATTTGCACTCCTTTTGATTGAAGGAGCCTGGGGATATCTTTTTTTCTTCTTTCAAAATGGGTTCATCGCTTGCATGTAAAAGGTTCTCCGCCGTTTCCTTTTGCCGTTGATTATAAAGACACTCAGGCATGCCTGCCATCACAATCCGTATTATGCTCCTCTGACTGAATGCAGTCGGCTTGGATAGGCCTTTTTTTCCCACCGTCTTCATTTATAAATGCCAACAGGACAACCAGCCCACCGATCATGTATAAAAGAAAACAACTTTCATTTTCATGGCAAAATAAATAAGCCACTATATACCAGGAATCAAGGTTTGAAAAGCAATATATGGCTGGAGCAGAAAACAAATTGATTTTAGACCAAGACGTCACCTTTTTTTAATATCCAACATTGGGTCTAAAATCTCTTTCACTAACACCATTAAGAGATTATTGACCTCCAAGACAATACCATTCCAACCAATCCATTGGATATGTTTTTTTTTTTTATAAAATGGGTTAGACAAGGTCAGTTTGTGGCACAAAGACATGAAAAAATTCAGTCCTTTACATCTGTATTGCCATCGCGGGATGTCACTGGGTGATGCCGGCCCGAGAGTCACGGCGTGCGGTGTCACGACATCGCGGGCACCACGAGGATGTGGGTGCAGTACCGGCCCTAGGGGCTCGGTGAGAGCTGATCGATAGCGCTGGATGGCACCACGCTCGGCGTGCAGTGCCGACCCCTACAGGATGGGGTGTGGGAGTGCCGGCCATGGGAATGGGGTTACTAAGGGCTCGTGGCACTCTGGTTGACCCCAGAGGACACGTGACCGGTTAAGTCTACACAGGGGCCCCAAGTGGGGGCTAGGGGTGGTCACATGTCAGGGTCGAGATCCTGCTCGAGCATTCTGGAAGGTGGTCGTGGCCAAGAGCGGAGCCAGCCACGCCGCAGAGGATCTAAGCCGGGTCCCCCAGAGGGACCGGCGCTGTTGTTCATCCTGAAGAAATCTTCATCAACGTTCTACCGAGTCTCCAACACGTGGACCTGGACCCGAGCTGTGGTCCGGTCCGTAGTAGCTAGTTAGTGTAGTTAGCCTGGTGGTGACCACCAGGCTAACTACACCAGTCACGTGATAACTAGTGTAGTTAGCCTGGTGGTCACCACCTGGCTAACTACACCAGTCACGTGGTAACTGGTGTAGTTAGCCTGGTGGTCACCACCTTGCTAACTACACCAGTCACGTGGTAACTAGTGTAGTTAGCCTGGTGGTCACCACCATAGGTTGTTATTCTGTTCAGGGGCAGTTACCCCGTGTGTTGGTGTTAAATAAATGTGTTGCCTCCCAGAGTACGTCTGCGACTCAGTTGAACTCACGACACATACAGTCTTAAGATTCCAATCAGCTGCAGTGCTATTTGGAAGATTACAGATTCATTGTGTCTCCCCTACATTCCTGCTGTGCATTACAGGTTTAAAGAATGATCTTTCATATGCAGTAAGTACACTTCCAAACAGCACGACTCTTGGGGTGCGCATTTATTTATTAAAATTATTAAGTAAATTACAACATAAGTCAAGGATTTCAAACGTGAAAACTTTTCTAGACTAATTTGCAGCCTTGCAAATGAACGTAGTCGCATTTTGCCATTAATATTATCTTTTGAGTTAGATCGAGCAAATATAAACCCGTCACAACCAATTAGTAAGGTTTGTCATGTAAACAAACATGCCAATTCGTTACTAGTATAGCACACTGGTGTGTTGGAGGGTAAATTTTGTGGTTTACTCTCCAACACACCGGTGTGCTGAACTCGTAAGGAATTGCCACATTTTGTTTACGTGACAAACATTACTAATTGGCTGTGTCGGGTGGTGGCGGGTTTAACAATACATTCATATTTAAGCAAACTAACCCAAAAACCTCCTATGGATTATTTCATGTTGAGAAACATTTCATGTATTCCATTGTGGTCATGAGTTAAGTATCTTACTAATATTACACTGCTATAAGACAACGTAGGCCATTCTCAGGAAGGCTAAATTAACTTACACATCTTTTTCCTGGTTCTTTCGGTAAAGTCGCGTCGAAGGGAAATAATGAAATAATTAATACTCTATCTTATTATGCTTTATTTTTAATATTTTATTATTTCCCTTCTACGTGGTGACTTTACCGAAAGAACCAAGAAGATGAATCCCTGCAGTCACGAAAGCTTTAAATCGAAATGTACACATCTTTAATATTAAACATTATCCTGGATATTTGATTATCTTTAAAGTGGTGGAATAACATTTTAAACAGTTTAAACGTTTAAGTTTATTCCATAACGCAAGGTCAACTTCATAAATCATTGCAATTAAAATCAAAATCTTTTGAAATTGTTAAGTCTCTGACCCATCTCTCCAGCGCTAAGTCTCTCCTTTGCACATAATCTGGAATGATGACGCTGGCTGACTGGGCGTGGCCTGGCAACAACCAATCAGCATTCAGTGGCCAAATCCCATACCCAAGCCTTTAAAAAAAAATGAACCAGCTTGATGCTTTCAATTTTCGCACAGCAAACGCAAGGGAGGTTCAGTCACATCCCTCCCACAGTGGCCGTGGCCGTTTTTGACGATCGAGTCACCGGGTCGGCAGTGCATGCCGAGAAACGCATTCACTCGAGACAATCGCATGAAGGCACGGGTTATTTCCCATTGTTAACGGAATCACCGGCACAGCCACTAAAGACAATTCCCATTTTCGCAGGAAAATAACGAGGACTAAATCAACGTGGTGTGATAATGTGGCCCAGTAGTTCCCTCGCTGGGATACAAACTTGGCGATCCGAGTTCGATGTCCATCCATGGCCGAGTGTACTGGAAGAGTGATATCTTAACTGGCCCCGACACCCACCTTGACCAGCCCACACTGCAGACCAATGTGGTGAAGTATGATCAAACAACTGGCTCTGACACGATATCAGGGGGAGGCCTTTCTCCAGGAATAGATTGGCAAAGGGTTGTATTTATAGGTCATTATTATTACTCCAGCACTACAAACTGAAGGAGGTAAACCTTACAACTGGTGATACCAATAAGACGGCGACAAAGCCTTGCAAAATGAAGAGACAGAACAATACAAATTTAAATAATTGTTGTGAAAATGCATAACTAAATTACAGTAGCACTGGATAATGTAAAGCACATCAAAAAGCATAACAAAATATAAATGCATCCACATTCATTGTTCAAGCCTCGCTAAAAACCTTTAATCGTAAAAGTCATCAAAGTCATCTGCCCTTGCTTCTTGACCACGTGGACTCAGGATGACATCAGCGTCTGAGATACTGTCGTCCGAATCGCCCCAGAATGCTGGCACGCGGAGACGGGGGAAGAGAAGGGAGATTAACTCGCACGCGGCTCGCAGCTCTGCAGTATTATCGCACTCAAAAACACATTGCACAGACCGGCATTAAAAATACCACAACCGTTTGCCTTTCGCCGTTTGCGCCAAACAGGTCTTCAAAGAAGTGCAAAATTGAGAAAGCCAAAGACCCAAAGCAATCGAATCATGGTTGTTGAAAGACTCGGTTACAAGTCAGCCCACAGCAGAGGCTGGCCTGAAATGATTCTCCCCAATATTTTATTTTTTATATTCTTTTACTCTGCACATATTACAAATTCAAACACCCAAGTATTCTTTCATGCAGAAAATTACTCTCCTTCCATCTGGAGATGCAAGATTTATGTAATGCATTTCCCTTGTGAAAGGTATACAGTAATGAGAGATGCCTTTCAGAATTGTAACGTGCTTTGTAAAATTGCACCTCACATTGCAAATTCAAACCGTTGCTTTAATGAGTAAATCAAAGACATGCAATTCAAAGGTATACTTTTTTATATTTTATATGTTTAATGTTTTTTTTAAATGCAAAAACAGGACTGTGAACAATCGAATTAAACCGCATCAGACTGTATCATGTTTAAAAGCTTTTACCTTGGTATTGTCTACATATTGTTTCATTAATGAACAATAAACAAGTTTCACTCGAACTTACTTCTAGTTTGATTAAGAAATAAGGTGAATTGCAGTTTAACCCAAATGGTTAATCCCATTATCAGGGCTTTAGCAATATCATCAAGCAGCCTTGTTCCCGTACATACCTTTCTTATTAAATCCTGTGGCTGCAGTGGTCTGCGATTCCCTTTGGTAAAAAAAAAGAGACATTAAATAGGACCTTGAAATTAAACACTTTTGAACTATGGCCGTTTTTCAAAACGGTTTTCAAATACATGTCTTGGATACAGGATTTTATGTGCACACAACATACCCTGCTTTGACAATTTTTGTGTTATGAATAAATGTGCGGCGATGCATCGATTAATATCCTTGAAGCTTATGTTACATGTGTAATGACATAGAATTGGTCACTAAGTAGCATATCGCTGGCTGCTGGCAGGGAAGGGGATCTGCAGCTTGTAGCAGCCCTGACAGCAGGCCACGTGATAGACCCGAGAGGGATCTAGGGTAAAGGTTACGGAAGAGACACGTCGAGGGCCCGCTAGTAGGTTCTAGAAAGGGGGCGTGGCCGGGGCGGAGCGAGGCCACGCTAACAGGATAAAAGGGGACCCGGAGCAGAAGCTCGGGGCCGTCGTTTGGAGTGGGATCCCCGTCGTCGTCGTTGCTGTTGAAGATCGTCACCATCGCTCGCTGTCGTCTCGTGCATTCGTCGCTGTCGTCTCCACTTGATAATTGCGCTGCTAGTCGGTAGGTGGCTGTCTAAGTTCAGTGCCATCAGTGTCAGATGGCTAGCGTTGTGTTGTCGGCTAGCAACTAGTGTAGAGTTGTGTTTGAGCGAGAGGACAGAGTGTGTAACAGTATGCTCGGTGTTAATTAAAGAACTGCCTCCAAGAGTTACGTCTCCAAGTCAGTCACTACACATGCACCGAATCGTGTGAAGAATCAATGTTTTTGGATGTCTACGGGTTACATGTAATGGCTTTTGTGACCCATGCAGCCACTAGAGGCACTACCATTCACTGCAATAATAAACAAATAGATTCTGAACTGAATTACAATTGGGGGGCTGAATCTTTAAACCTCTAATGATGAAAATACAATTTACATAAAATTCACCATTATGCTATTGTGTATAATTCCCTGCAATAAACAAATAAAAATACATATGTAAAGCAACAAATCGTCTTGGATCACAGGTCACGTGTTGGGGAAAAGTGTGGGTACTTCCCAAGATGCCTGGGCATTGTGGAGAAGCAGGCCAAATACCTTCTAGAGCAGTTCTCCAGAGCTCTGCCTCGTGGAGTCCCTTCAAAATGCAGTAGAAACTAAACTATTTTTATTTTTACAGGAAAGGCCCACTGAGCGATATGGCTCTTTTCCAGAAATGAGCCGGCCACAAATGACAGCTCCACTAAGTGACTTATGATTGCTGAAATTTATAGCAGCCAAATACTCGAAAGGCACGTTTATAAATGTGGAGGGAAAAAAGCGGAGGACCCGGAGAAAAAAACATGCGACAACAAGGAGGACATGCAAACTCCAACTATACAGGTATCAGGGTCAGTATTAAACCAACAACCTCCTCCTGTATACCGGGTGAGGCAGTTAACATCTCACCACCGTGGCACCCAACGGTAGCACGAGCTAGCAATTGCTGGGACCCCCCTGTACCTTTTCAAGAGTTGGGATAAACAACATTTAGCGGCGTTGTTTTTTGTGCTCATGGCGCTGGCCATGGTACGGCGAGCTATTTTAGTCACACACACACACACACAAGCAACTCTTGCCCACATTTACACCTTGAAGATCTCTGGACACTTTCCAGCCAAAACGTGTTTTACCTTGGTCCCCGCGGGGGCGTAGTGCCAGCCGCTTTATTTGGTGGGGAGTGCTCCGTGTTGACCGTAAGAGGTTTGGGTGATGGAGTTTTGGATCGTCCGTCGTCGGATGATTTCACGGGGCTGCTCCTACTGCCTGAAGCTCCGGGTGAAAGCTGCACTGCCCCTTCCAGATCCCTGAGTATGTGTCAAATGCCAGAATAAATTTCAGCTGGGTTATATATACAAACAAAAATAACTTAAACGTTTCGGGAGGCACAGTCGCCGTTGATTAAATTGGAAGTAGGTGCGTTCTAAAGTCAAACAGGTATGTTCTCAAGTCAAATTTCCGTGTGATCACTCTGTCATTACAATCAATGCTCACGTGAGATTATACTCTGAGCCACAACAGCAGTGATGACAAAACAACAAGAATAAATGTGTTTACAGAATATGTAATAAAATAAAATTATTATTTTTTGTGTACAATCACCTTGATTGGACACTTTTCTGTCGACCTGGAGATAACAATGCTTCTATGTCATCATCATCATCGTCATCAGATTCAGCTTGTGTGCCATCATTCCTCGACAATTTCTCTGCACCTTGATGGATACGTAAAAAAAATACACATGGATGGCAATCAAAAAAACAACGCTATTCTTAAAAACCATTACACTCTAGCGGAGCACAATCTTCAAGTTCTGAACCTTTTGGATAGGCGTTTGACATTTTACAATGTCGTGCCATATATATATAACAAAAAAATACTACAATGACATTTACTCAATTACAGTAAATGTGATTGGCACTTTTTAAAATCGGGAAAAATGTTCGCAGACGTATCGTCATTACTGGTGTTTCATTATCGGAACGATTCCATGAAGTGAATGTGTCGATGTTCACGTGCAGAACTCGTACGAGGCAACAGAATGTGGGCCCCTTCTCACCGCAAACACTTCCCGACAGGTGCTGGATATCTCTAGATAGAAACTACTGAACTGTAACACCGAGTATCCACTGTCCATCAATAGCCCTTCATCTTCGTCTCCTATGAACCTTCTGTAAGGCTTTTTTTTTCTGTCATCCCGCGATCGAAACAGTGTTATGGGAAGAGGGGGTGAGAAATCAAATAACTGGCCACGTATGTGTAAGCTTTAATCTGACACGGTAGTGACGAGGATTGCAAAGGCTTTCAGCCAGAGACTGAGTAACAGCCATGCAGCTTAACTCGGCAGTGATAAGTTGCAAGAGAAAAAAATATCTATTCTGCAGCACTATGTTCCGAACATAGAAGTCGTGACCTCTAGATGTAACAGATTCTAAAGCAACAACCATCACACTAATGCACTGTTACACTTAGAAGTACTATTGTCGAGCATAATAAATAAAAATAAAGTACTGCGCATCTTGAAATTATTCTCGTCAGTCACATTCAAACGCAAAAGAATACCGATACCATTTTCAATCATTAAGAGACGTAACAATAACATTAATAAGTGCTTGTGTTCCATGAACAACTGACCAGTCTTTCAGTCAAGATTACAATTCTGCTTACAGCACTAGCATCGTGTATTTTTTGGCGGAGCTTGGAAAGGATTGTGAATTGACCACCATGCATACTATGTAGGGGTGTGTGTATGAATGCATTAATTCATTAACATCCATAAGGTCTCACTCTCGTGATACACGTATGACATTCTGCTTGGAAGGGGAGATCATTTTGACTTGGGAATAGGGGGTGGTATTTCCTTGTTATTCGCGAGTGATAGTAATGTGCATGTTATTTGGTAATTTGACTGTGATTTGCGAGTGAGAACAACACAAATGGAATGGTAATTAGTGTTCCCTCATCATTCACGAGGGATACGTTCTGGAGATGCTCGTGAGCAGCAAATTTCGCGGATAATAATATTGGCCTACGAAAACCTATCTTTGTAATGAATTCCCTGCACTAAATACATAAGCTATTAAATACATACAAATGATCTCATCACTTTATCTCATCATCACTTTCTCGCATCACATTCTCTCTCATCACTTTATTTTTCTCTCTCTCTCTCGATGCAGTCGAGTAGAGTTCCAGACGAGATGTATGTTGAACTTCTTTGGCACCGTACATAGCCAAACGCAAAGCACCTGATAGCCAAAATCGAGGATATCAAGTGCGTGAATCACAAGGGAATAACGTTCCGCACTATGAATCCAGCGACCTGAGAACGATCCACGGCCACGGAAAGCATCAGTGGCTCGTATCATCGGAATTTCCCCTGCCTCACCCCCCTGACTCCCCCTTCACCAATTTACATTGACCAGCATGGTGAAGTATGGTCAAAAATCACCCATGGCCAATAGTAGATGGGGAGACCTTCATCCAGGAGTGGCTTGGAAATGCAAAATGACATAACCTTTAAGTGACCTCTGCTGCCACAATATACGACCCTGCCTATTTCTACTTCCATTGACATTGTTCCACGTCTTAATTCCGGTTCACAATTCAGCAATATGTTAGCGACAACATTAAGCAATGACATGTTTGGGTTGTGTACAGGTCCTGATGTCACGACTTAGAATTGCCAGCTTCAGAATTGATGATCGGCAAGAGTGGAGTAATGCAGATGATGATGATGATGTCACAGGTTATTGTGACATGCTGTGTCTCAACAGTCACCGACTCCAGTATGTAAAGTGTGTGTGAGCAATCTGGACTGTCATTGTGAAGAGCGAAATACATATCTGTGCGAAGATGCAAAAGATAACGCATTTTCAATTAAGAAGTACAAAACATGACAGTCATCATCTCTATGATAGCGGTGGAAAACATCAGCTAATGTTATGAATAAGATAAATAATATTTGTTTTCAAACTGTGCCATGCAGACAGCATTTTTATTTATTTTTGTTTATCATTACTTGATTCCTTTGGATCCAGTGAAGGGGCATTGTCATCAAGGGTATCCTGCTTCAGTATACATTGTCGCATCTGCAGGTATGCTTGTGACTCTGCAATGAGAGAATGTACAATTTGCGGGAAGACTGGAGAGAGACAGATATACACGACTATTTGGTAATTACAAATGCCCTGCACCATGTATACCAAAGGCATATACAGTAAAAGCTTGGATTGTGAGTAACTTGGTCTGCGAGTGTTTTGCAAGACGAGCAAAATTTTAAAATATTAATTTGATAAACGAGCGAGGTCTTGCAATACGAGTAATACGTGTACACGCTTTGTCTGCCAAGCGTCACGTGATCACAACTGATATACGAGTGCTTTGATATACGAGTGCTTTGGATTACAAACACGTTTCCGGAACGAATTATGCTCGCAATTATTTATTACACAATTTTACTGAATTTACTCCAGTCCTTTGGTGAGAAAAGTATTATTCTACATTAAAAAAAAAACCTTTGAGTCGCAAAAATAGCAAGACGAGTTCTCGCTCACTCTTCAGTTCGTTGCACTTTTATTATTCCTAACATACCTCCAAAACAGACAAGCTCAAACAACTTACTTCCAAACCAAAAAAAGGGTGCACGCTACAGATTGGCGAATTATTTTTTTTTTCCCACATACAAACAACAAGGAACAGCAATCGCAGAGCCGCAAATCAATCAGCCAATCAGTGAACAAAGTCCTTGTGGCTATTTCAGCGCTGTCAAAAGCTCTGCAGCTAGGTAACCTCAAAGTCCTTCACACAAGCACCCGGGCGCAGCCAATAAAAACACCGTTATAATCATCTCTTCAAAATTTCTGTCCACCTAAAAAAAAACTTCAACCGAGGAACTCACTTGAACGCTGATGGCTACAAACAATAGCTGTGACAGGATGTTGGAAGCCACTTCAATATGGCCTTCTGAAAATTACAGGACTAGATGGAACAAAATCTCGAGGCTTTCCGTAGGATGCAAAGATAAACGACCCGTATTGATTACTGGATTCTGCGCTAATAAGAAATTTGAGAAGGATTTTCGTTGTCTAATTGCATTCTACAGATGTTTGTATTGTTTGGAGCAGTAAAAAAAACCTCGTGCAATGTGAATTTAGCTTATGCCTGAATGTTTCACTCTGTAAAGGTGGTTTTTATTCATTCATGTTTATTTAGTTTCGTTCATTTTTCAATTTAAGAATACCTTTAGAACACTTTGCCGTGTTTTAGCTGCGAGACATATACCAAATCATGAAAATGGTGTTTAGAATATATTAGAGCCAAGGTATCAATTTCAAGAATATCACTTCAAGAATTACTTAAATGACTGAGAAAATAAAAGCATCAGCAACCGAATGGATTACGTGATAAATCTAAAATAAGTCCAAAGTACAATACTTTTATAAAATGTCACGATCAAATATTTTTTAACTGCCTGTGCTCATTCGCAAATGTAATTTTACAAAAATGTACAGCATTATTCACTAAAATCAAACCCAAGTTGTAATTTTGAAAGTGGAGTGGGTGAATTCGTATATTAACCTTTGAATTCTACACAGGAATTCCTAGACATCTAAATTTCTATGAAGCCTTATAAAATGTGACCACATTGTTAAACAAACAGTAATTATGAATGGGTGAAATGCATTGCAAAAACAGTAAAACAATACCGAGGGTTTTAACCAGCTGGGCTTGGCTAAGTCTGTCGCTCTTGGACAGAGATCCCGAGTCATCTGAGGCTGCCCGACTCAAAGACCTGTCGGGTGAAACTGCTTCTTCTCCTTCTAGAAGATTTTTCAGGAGTTCTACTGCCTGTGTGTTAGCAAAATGAGAAAAAAAACCAACAACATCTTTCGTGTTAATTAGCAGCAGTGTGTGTGTATGTGTGCAACCACAATTGTAAAACTAACACACCCTATTTCACATTCTTCAAATGCCTCAATAATAATAATGCCGATTATTTACAGAATACACAAAGCCTCACCGAGTCTGAAAAATATATGGCGAGTGAAATGCACAAGGGTGTCGAGTGGAGTATACCTTGGGGAGATGCTCACAAGTTTCAGAGACAAGGAGTGGCCCAAAGAGAGTGGCGATGTCACTGGTGGACAGGGCCCCATGGTGGATGAGATGAAGAGCGTGTTTGTACCAGCGCTCCCACAACAGCCCCGAATCCACTTGCAGGTGGGCTCTACAAAACACGTGTTTACACCATTGATTTTCTCTGCGTGGCCAGTATTTAAACATATCTGTTTAAGCAATAACGAAGCCAATATGCTGAATGCCCTGTTTTTCGTTGACAAAGGCTTTCTGCATGTTGAACTCCTTTCGCATCGTATGTAGCCAACCGTGCTAATCGGCTATATCAACTGGGAGTGCCTGCTTTGCGGTCGGCTAGAATTGTGACTTCTCTACAGTAAAAGTCGAACACGTTTCTGAGTCCCAATACCAATGGCAATTTAATGGAATTTAAAACAAATTAAAAAATATATTACTTTGGAGAAAATCAAATTTTATTTGTTTAAAAATGTGAACCTTTTTACAAGCTTGGAATGACGCAATATCACCGGTGCTGTGCCTACAACAATTGCACAAGCTGATTTAAATCGCTACTACTTGAAGGAGCCTCTGTCCCTGAAGATGCTTACAAACGGCCATCATCAACGCGACCATACTTTGTCATAAGCCACTTGTCTGGTGATGCAGTAAGCCTAACCGTAGTGTGTCCGCAGTGACTGCAGTCAGGTCTGCAGTGAGTAGTCCCTCTGGCAGCAGGCAACCATCAGTAGTCTCTTGGGAGAACCTCTGCAGCTGCTGCAGAACCACAGCTCCCAGCATGCTCAGCTCTGGCCGCTCTTCTTCCAAAGAGCCACCGCCACTATTGGAAAACCTGGAAAAGGATGACAGATCCAATTGAGCGGCAATGTTGATGAGTGTTGTTTACATATGCACGGTATTTATAATCACGTCGCTGTTCAGTAGCTGAACTTGTCTACTCACTTCATTGCAAGTGTCATCACTCTAAACACTGTCCAGCATAAATACACGGTAATATATATGGGAGTACCCACACTTTACCCCAAAACACGCATCGATCGGCCGTGGTGTGCCCTGTTTATACTCCTGGCTGGACAGCAACGAGGGAATTTAAGAAAATTCGCCCATTTGTTTCAACTGCCACGCTGTGAGATCAAAACGGCAACTCCTGTATTGAAAGTCCAGTAGGCTAGCCATTACACCACAGCGGCATAAGGAACTAAATATCAATAATGAAGGGGTTTATTTGGGTTAGATCGCGTAAACAAAACATACCATTTCGATGCTCGTTCAGCACACCAGTGTGTTGGAGAGTAAACTCACAACATTTCCAATTAGAGCACGACATTTCAATGGTGATTACAATCAGCTTCATCAGGCAATAGCCAGCATTGTGGAGAATTCCACCAATGCTGGTGTAGGGTTTAATGACACATTTATATTTACTCTATACAAATATATACACATTTTGGATGTTGGTCGCGGAAGCAGACTTGTTAAACCCCCAAAAAATATCAAGTTATTTTTAAACGGCAAAACACAGATGCGCGCACCTTATAACCTGTGCCATGTCAGCAGGGCGGACCGCAGTAGAGATATACAGCTGAGAGCCACCTGCTTCCTCACAGTATCCCAGCGTTTGCTCAATGGTTTGCAGGAGGTAGAAAAGCCCCGACACCGTCAACTCTGACCTGCGCACCCAGATAGCCAAACACACTCATGTATTCATGCACGATCATGTGCATATGCAACCGGCCGCAGACGTAATACGTAAAAGATACACCCTACAGCTCTACAGAGTCTCAGGGCAATTGGTGTTATCGAGCACCTATTGAGGTCGGCAAGACCCCCAAGGGAATTGTGTTGCCAGTATCTTACACGGACACCTTTGTTTCCCCAATACGGTACTGCTGTTTGCACAACGCAGGAGGTACTCATTCAAGACTGAGCTGACCAAGAGGAGGTCAAGAACCAGTTAAGATAATCATCGCTGATGTTAGCTGTGCCTGAAAATAGAACGTGTTGCTGAATTCGTGCCGCGCGAACCGCACACCAGTGTCATGGTTTTCAGTTCGATGCTATCGATCAGTACCAGGAATACAGTGAGGGAAAAAAGTATTTGATCCCCTGCTGATTTTGTATGTTTGCCCACTGACAAAGAAATGATCAGTCTATAATTTTAATGGTAGGTTTATTTGAACAGTGAGAGACAGAATAACAACAAAATCCAGAAAAACGCATGTCAAAAATGTTATAAATTGATTTGCATTTTAATGAGGGAAATAAGTATTTGACCCCCTCTCAATCAGAAAGATTTCTGGCTCCCAGGTGTCTTTTATACAGGTAACGAGCTGAGATTAGGAGCACACTCTTAAAGGGAGTGCTCCTAATCTCAGCTTGTTACCTGTATAAACGACACCTGTCCACAGAAGCAATCAATCAATCAGATTCCAAACTCTCCACCATGGCCAAGACTAAAGAGCTCTCCAAGGATGTCAGGGACAAGATTGTAGACCTACAAAAGGCTGCAATGGGCTACAAGACCATTGCCAAGCAGCTTGGTGAGAATTATTACTTTATTGTTTCCCTTCAACGTGACTTTAGCGAAAGAACCAAGAATATAAGGTGACAACAGTTGGTGCGCTTATTCGCAAATGGAAGAAACACAAAAGAACTGTCAATCTCCCTCGACCTGGGGCTCCATGCAAGATCTCACCTCATGAAGTTGCAATGATCATGAAAACGGTGAGGAATCAGCCCAGAACTACACGGGAGGATCTTGTCAATGATCTCAAGGCAGCTGGGACCATAGTCGCCAAGAAAACAATTGGTAATACACTACGCCGTGAAGAACTGAAATCCTGCAGCGCCCGCAAGGTCCCCCTGCTCAAGAAAGCACATATACATGCCCGTCTGAAGTTTGCCAATGAACATCTCAATGATTCAGAGGACAACTGGGTGAAAGTGGTGTGGTCAGATGAGACCAAAATAGAGCTCTATGGCATCAACTCAACTCACCGTGTTTGGAGGAGGAATGCTGCCTGTAACCCCAAGAACACCATCCCCACCGTCACACATGGAGGTGGAAACATTATGCTTTGGGGGTGTTTTTCTGCTAAGGGGACAGGACAACTTCACCGCATCAAAGAGACGATGGACGGGGCCATGTACCGTCAAGTCTTGAGTGAGAACCTTCTTCCCTCAGCCAGGGCATTGAAAATGGGTCGTGGATGGGTATTCCAGCATGACAATGACCCAAAACACACGGCCAAGGCAACAAAGGAGTGGCTCAAGAAGAAGCACATTAAGGTCCTGGAGTGGCCTAGCCAGTCTCCAGACCTTAATCCCATAGACAATCTGTGGAGGGAGCTGAAGGTTCGAGTTGCCAAACGTCAGCCTCGAAACCTTAATGACTTGGAGAAGATCTGCAAAGAGGAGTGGGACAAAATCCCTCCTGAGATGTGTGCAAACCTGGTGGCCAACTACAAGAAACGTCTGACCTCTGTGATTGCCAACAAGGGTTTTGCCACTAAGTACTAAGTCATGTTTTGCAGAGGGGTCAAATACTTATTTCCCTAATTAAAATGCAAATCAATTGATACCATTTTTGACACGCGTTTTTCTGGATTTTTTGGTTGTTATTCTGTCTCTCACTGTTCAAATACACCTACCATTAAAATTATAGACTGATAATTTCTTCGTCAGTGGGCAAACGTACAAAATCAGCAGGGGATCAAATACTTTTTTCCCTCACTGTATGTTCATCACCATTGCCATTATTGTCAGTGCACAAATATAAATAACTATATTAATGTTGTAAAGTGCATACTGCACAGACACGCATTCACGTCTTCAAAAGCATACACGAACTATGCACAGACGCAACACACACACACAAATGCACATATTGCGCACGTAATGCACCATGCAGGGTCCACCACGCAGGGTACTTGTATTGAATTATTTGTGGCTGCCTTAATCAGGGTTTACTATGGATACATTTGCAATATTCACAAAAATCAATAACAGCGGAACATATAATTACGTCAATTAAAGCGCATGCACACAAACATCCATGTGGGTGAAGAATATTAATGTTTTAGATGTTTCAGGTTGATGAGGAACACAAATGTACCTTACACATGCACTTAAGCTTTCATCTTCTGTTCTGAATGCAAGGCAGAGAGGCAATTTTTGATTATCTAGGGTTAAGCATATGATCGAGGTTTCCATCAGAATACACAAACTCGCCAGCATTTGTTAAGAGCACTTCCATAAATGCTCGCAAATTACACCAAAAAGATCTGCACACCTAAATTACTGACAATTACTGGAAGTGGCCAATGAAGGCAGCAAACTGCAGGCAGTGTATCTACTTTTTTTTTCCTCCTCGAGCTCCAGAATAATTTGGATGCGAGCACTGAAGCAATGATCTGCGCACCGTGAACTCCCGCGGACCCGGGGTTTGATTCCTAACCGCGACGGCTAACATCGTCGGTGATGAATGCTACCGAAACCGCTCCCGCATCACCAACTCGCCATGGGCCAGCGTGGTGAAACAGAGTAAAACAACTTCCGTGGTCAACACAAGGTAGGGGAGAGGGTCGTCGTCATCCATCAGCACTATTTTTTAAAAGAGTATTTCTTTAAATTGATGCGTACACTGTATACGTCACAATTTTATTAAAATCATATATTACCATATGCAGATGTGGACAAATACAAGATTAACAATTATGTTCACACCGTTTAGTTGCATGTACTTGTGGCAAGATTCACGTTCAAATAATGCAAAACATTGATTTAGTGCATGTTACGTTGTACCCTATAATTTTTGTTCATAGTCAAGCGGGTGATCAATCAGGCGGTGCTCTCTATCTCTTGAAAGCAGCCGATTTCAGTCCCTCTCACAGATAAAAAAAACATCAGGGTGTTAACACAATCAGGGGGGAATGCAATAAAAGATCCATCATAATCTTCCCTGGTCCCAGGCTTTAATCTCTGCTCGTTTATTCCCTCAAGACGATAGCGGCAAGATAGATCTGTCAGTGTTGTCAAAAGGAGGCAGCTGAGATTGCATTTATTGCAAACAATCACGGCATCTATCATTGGGGACCACTAATGAAAATACGGGTAGGTATGTGGCTGAAGAAATCTGCCACTCTGACCTCAAATCTGCCAACTTCTACACCACAAATCCAGCATCGGGTCAAAAGTGTGGGCCTAACCCTCAGGAGGGAGCTATTTGTCTACGCAGTTGTCCTGGCGCTGCAGGAGAGAAAGTGCTGTGGCAGTTCTTCAGTTCAAGTCACAAAATGCAGAGGTCACGCGGGGGAGCCTAAAAATAACCCTCTCGGTGATGGGGAAAAGTGGCAAGTATGTTTTCAATGCCACAACATTTATGTTATTACGTACTTTTCGCTTGCAAACACATTTTCGTCTTGGTCGTTCCTCTCATCAGCGGTGTGTTTGTCTGCTGATAGTGGGTGGTCCGCACTTAGCATTTGAAGCACAGTGAGGACAATAGGCCGGATGTAGAGGTCAGAAAAAAAGGGGAGGAAAATGAAAGGACGCACCCAAAGATTAATCTCAGCTTTTGTAGGAAGTTACATTCAAATGATAACTTGCACTATGGAAGAGATCCTGACGTATTAATGTGTATACAGTACTAGAGAATGGCATATGATAATAATCGGTGAATGTAAAGTTGAGTCTATAGACAGAGAAATATAAATACGCATTTTTTTAAAGAACATTTACATTTATACATTATACATATACCAAACATTCAATCAACTTTAAACCTTACGAATCAATAAGCCAACATTGTCAAGTGTATATTAAAGTAGTAAACAGCAATTTAATATTATCATGAATCTATGCAGCTAGAATGAATGCCCAACTCGTTTGTAGCTTAAATGCGTATTAAAACATATTTAACAACAGACTTTAGGGCCAAGAATCGCTTTTTGGCAATACGGTTGGCAGTACTGTGATAGAATACAGCTGATAAAGTGCTCTTTGAGTCATGCAGATAAAAAGTAACGGAGCAGCCGTTTCATAAATGTCGTACGTGCTTTGAAAGAGATCAAACTAGATTGCTATAAATCTCTTCACTTTCTATCACATCCAATCCCTGAGGTGCAATTTCACAAATTTTAGAGTGCTTCATTATGGGTATTGTTTCAGACCACCACGCGGGTATATTGGATTGTTTTTATAATGCCATAACGGAACATCTAATATTGCACGGTGGTATTTTCAGCGCACAATATTAAAAAAACCTTCGAGGCGTTTTATTATTATCGATAACGCAAAACCCTTCAGAAAACTTAACGAATTTTAATATTGAAAATAAAGCACCGTATAAAAATCCTACTTCACCCTAAAACCTCAACCAAGATCCCCGCCAAACTGCAAAAAGTACGCTTCAAGTAATAACACAAAAATCTCCGCATGCATCAGCGACCCCCGTGGCTTTGTGGAAGCCTCAATAGGCCTCTGGGCCTCAGCGTATGCTTGCGACATAATTGTTCCGCCATTTTCCAGTAATTTCTAAGCCGAGGTCTCGACCTTCACCCCTTTCAGCACCAGGGTTCTCCACCAGTTGCCCAAGCAACAGAGAGAGAGAGAGAAAAAAGACCAAAAAAATAATTATATTTAGACCCTTCCAAGATATTAATTGAGACAGCATTACTGCAAGGCTATAACCCCTTTCACTGGTAATGTATAGAGCAAGTGTTCATACAACATTGACCATTCCCAACAGATTATGAACACAATATTTTAAGCTATATATTATAAATATAGTTATATAAGGTGTAATGACATGCCCCTCATACATGCCACTGCCCTGGCTGACACATTAAAAGCATATGTATGTGTGTGCTCTACACTGAAAAGGGGTTAGGGGTTAAGGTTAGGGTTAGCAGTTACCCTTAAATGGAATCTTCAACAATACTACACGTGGCCTTCCAAACAGCAGCAGCAGCATCCAACCTCGACAAAATTGACACGTTCACCTCAGCCATGCCTCACTCCATGAAACACCTCGGAATGTCAGCTTACCCACCGCACAACGTGTTACGAGGCTGTTCTCAGAAATAGACATGAGATTGAAAGATTTCCCCAAGGGGCGTCCCTGCAAGATGAACTCTGGGTGGTGTGTGCGGAGCGCGCTACAGACCTCATTAACACGGAGTAATAGGTTTCCTGCAACAAAATAACCTGCACGGCCAACTCTATTTTGCTGCCCATGCAACAGTTGCTCAGACTGATAGAAATGAGGAAATATGACTCGAGCGTGGCGGGAACTCTGTATGTACTTGCCGGAAAGTCTCTACGCAATCTCACACCTGGTTACCTAACACTCAGAACTACGCGTGCTTTCTCTACTTGCTGTCAAGTCATATGTTGTGAATGTTAATGACGTTGGGAAATTTTTCAAATGTTTAAATGTAAACATGCATTTCTCACCAGATGTTGGAAAGTTTGTTTTTAAAAATATATTCACGCGATTGTTTCAGGGGTTTTATCAAGAGGATCGCACGTGTTCAAATTTGTAACGGTAATTATATAACTCACATGGGTCAACTTCCGGCAAAATTTAGATACAGGGGATACGTCTCCGAGACGTACTAACTCATTTTAAATACTCCGTTGAATAAGTACATGATGATACTCTCTTCACTGCAGCTTACAATTATCCTTATTCAATGGCAACTTCAAGTGAAAACCTTGAGGAAGATTTTCAGTCCCCTTATACGAAATGTTTTGGTTTTTATCATGTTGTTCGTGCAAATTGCATTTCACAATCGCTGAGGAACAACAGGCAAGTAATTAGTGTTCATCAAAAATGTTTAAAACCACTACACCATCAAAAATATCCAGGTTTCTACTTTTAAGTGTTACACGACAATTCTCTTTTTTATTCTGCACATTATATAACAAGTGACTGAGCGAATGTGCCGTGTAACACTGTGCCCTAAAATGGGGAGCGTTAGTGTAGTGGTTAGGGCGCTGCGCTACGAACCCAGCGACCCAAGTTCGATACCCGCTCACGGCCAATACCAGTGATGATTATCTGAACCGGTCCTGGGCCTCTCCTATTTCGACTCAGCCTCAAATGAGTACCTGGTGCGGTGTGTAAACATCGCCACCAGTGTGGTACTGGCCATCCGCTCCCTCGTGTGCCGTGCCAGCCTTCATAGACGCTCGCTAGCAGTACTTGTCCCAAAAGTATAAAAAGGCTATAAGGGTGATCTTTGTCTGGTGTCCTAAAGTTACAGAGTACTGTGGTTAGGTAACATCCTTAAGAATGCCACAAATAAAAGGTTTCGATTTACTTAAAACATAGTGATATATAGCCTGAAACTGTCCTATGACAAACTGTCAAACATGTTATCACAATTGTAAAGTGTACCAAGATGAGTGCATATATGAAGGAATGTGTTTCTAATTCCGACAAATATGTTACAGATATATTCCACGATTGTGATAGTCTGAAAATGTATCGATGAAAATGATCCATCATTTGGAAGGAGACCGAACACATTCTTACTTGGACAAAAACATTGCTGGGGCAAGCAAGATGATCTGAAATAATTTGCGCACAAGTCAAGTGTCAAAGTGAAGAGAGCTCAACATAATTGTGGCAAAGAAGCGACACATTAGACTTGAATTTTTGCGTGTTTTAGTTTCTCCCTACTCCAGAAAACATTCTCCTTAGTGGAAAAATCACTGTAATCACCAGAGGCAATAAAAGGACAACAAATGCATTGATTATACGATATTGCTATGCCTTGCCATTAAATGACTTGACCCAGGTGATGGCGATGTGTTACGACGGAAAAAGCACATTCCAAAACACTCCATTAGAATGTTGCTCAAGGCTTTTGGTGCTCTTTTTGCACGGGTAATTGTGCATCATTTTTATGGTTTTCTATTGTATAGGGCCAACCAATTATCTTTACGTGCATTTGTGGTTGGTTCAATACAGATAAAAATGACCATTTTTACATTCCGTATCCCGATTTGGAGTGGATGTTGCATTTTTTTAGATTATGAAACAAGTGCTGTGTTACTAAAAGAAATGTGACAAGCAATGCGGTGTATTTAAATTTCATGCGTAATAAATAATGTATCGACCATCATACGTAAAACAGCAGAGTCATTCTACCGTGTAGCTTTTCACGGTTGTGATGAACGGCACTCCGATACGTTTTTTGGGTTGCGCAGGCATGTTGTTCAAAACCACGTGTGACATTTCAAATCCAGTTGCTGGAATATTCTTTGAGAACTAAGTACAGCAGTTCCAGAAAAAAACTGAAGAGTTCCCAAGGAAGCTCCCAGCATGTGCAACGAAAGGTCAGCCATCGTGCCGAGCACGATGGCTCGTGCCGAGCACGATGGCTCGCCAAGAAATGCATCGAAGAACAGATTAATTCAGTATTATCACAGCACTTAATACGGCATCACACCTGGCGATCGGTATATGCAGTACTTTCATAAAAGGAAACACAAACAATCAAAGATGTCATCTACAATTACTAGAATTGTTTTATGCATTGTTACCAATGCATAAACACACCTGTATGACCTATTTTATTCCTCTTTGCTTTCAGCACTGCCCTCATGCTCTCTGCAATTTGTCTTTTTCAGAATTTCCCTCTTCTTCCCCCTCAACCTTCGTCTCTTGTTTCTCTTGAACAACAACCTCCACGTTTTCATCGCAATTTCCCTCCACCTTTTCAAAGCTCAGCGGTGCATTATCTATTCCAATGTCATCCGTTTTTTGTGCGTTCTCCTCTGTGAGATCGTTTTCAATATCGCCACAGACAAGCGCCGTGTCAACAGTTAGTGGAAAAGCCGCATCTTCAGCTTGGTCGTATTTCCCATTATCAACGTAGCCATCTTCACATTTGCTGACTTTACAAATTGGAATGTTGAGTGGTTTTTTCTACCTATTTTGTATCCCTATGTCTGCTTTTTGAGTTTTCTCGTATGCTTGCTTTTTTCAGTTTCCATTTGTGTCATCTGCTCTTTTGTGTAATTCATGTTGACCAAGACCATGCCTTCTTTGTGTTGCACAGAAAAGCATTTTGCGTTTGGATTTTTTTCTCGAAATTCGAACTCAAGACTTAATCTACTCGAACAAAAAAAAACTAAAATTAAGCAAAGCAACCACTGCACAATAACAAAAAAACATATTCTCGACAATTTCTAAAGGAACAAATTAAACTAAAATATGTAGTGGTCACGTGAACAATTTACGAGAAATAATCTAAATGCTGACGCAATTTCAGTTTTCAGTTTCTTTATTTTGGTATAGCCCTGTGAGCCATTCGGCTCTTGAATCGGGTGCAACCACAATTTACAACACGATAACTTCTAATGCCTACTAACATGGAGGACAACAACAGGATAAGGAATGCGATATTCTCATCAGGCAAAACATATATACATGAAAAGACTTTTGCCAGACTTACTTGAAATTTTCCACTGGAAACGTATCAGAAGAGGAAAGGTCTCCGTGTTGTATTACTACTCCCTCTACTGGGAGCAGCAGAGTGAAAGCTCTTTTGTCAATCGGCGATGAAGCAAAAGGGAAAGAAACGTAGCATTCACCTAAATTTCACTCAGGATAATTTATACCTGTGCGATAAACATTTTATCTCAATTGCGTCAAATTTTATAACAAAGTTAATGTTAAAGAGCCTGAAAACCAATGTCATTCTACTATTCCCCATTTCCACATACAACCATCATCCAACCCGTTGCTAAGTTTTTATCTTTTCCATCATGATTTATACTTTGTAATTATATTAGTGTCATACTTTGTTGTTGTATTTGTTTTCTGAGAATTTAACAAAAGAAAATTGACATAAAACCATTTAACTTGAGTTAGGAATATTGTTTTTTTGCCGCAACCCACATTTTCCACATTGAATAATATAATTAACCTTCAAGTCCTAAATTGCTACTAACCTTTAATATGCCTGTTCACTTGCCATGACAAAAAAATGTATCGTGAAGCCGCACAAAAGCCAAATCACCCCAAGAGAATTGTCATGCAGGCAATGAGGAATTTTCTGCTGTAAAATTCAACTTACTGTGCCTCAAAGCTTGTGGTCCTGGCTGTATTTGGAGTTGATGTCTGGTCAGGCCTTGAGTCCAGCTGATAGGTCACGTGCCGCTGTGCCCCAGAGCTACTACTGCCCATCTCTGAAGGTTGCTTTAAATGTCCCTTTCTCAATGCACCGCTGTCTCTGACAGACGTCAAAAACTCCACCTGGGTAGGCTGTTCTTTGCCAAACCAATCTTGTGAACCATTTTCCACTCTGGATGCACCTGTAAAGTTATCATAATGACAGAGCCATAATCTATTAATGTCATATCTAAGTTACTATTCTGCCTAGTTGTAATAAAGTTACATTAAGCCTCACCAGAAGTTGTCTCTCGGCTTTCAAACTTGAATATATATACCTTTAAATTAATATTCAATATGCCAGTTTAACACATAGGCTTTCGTAACCAATATCATCCATAATATAGGTTTCTTTGGGTTAGATCACGTAAATATAAATGTGTCATTAAACCTGCCACCACCCGACACAGCCAATTAGTAAGGGTTGTCACGTAAACAAAACACAACATGTCGTGGATTTGCTCTCCAATACTCTTGAGTGCTATACTAGTAACGATTGGCATGTTCTGTTTATGTAACAACCTTACTGGCTGTGTCGGGTGGTGGTCGGTTTAACGACACATTTAAATTCACGCGATCTAACCCAAAATCTGTATTATGGATTCACTATGCCATATGCAAGAAGGCAACAACTCTTTACCACAACTTACAATTTATACATACATATAATTGCATTTCTTTAGTGTTGTTGTTTTTACAGTAAAATTATCGAACTGCTGCCAAGCAGTACTATTTACAATAGACTACGGTAAAGTAATGGCAGCAGTGTTAATAATTTTAAGAAAACACGATACATGTCGACAGGTAATGTTTCATACCTTCTTCAGACGAGTCACCATCTGTCTCTGGTGAACGAGAATCCACATTCTGAAGTGCTGGGTCTACAGCTGCCTTCACGGCAGTCTGCATGGTGTGGCCACTATTTCCCTGCGACCTTTCCAACGGTCTACTGCCATTCACATCCGAAAGTTCACTCGACGATCTTTCTTGCGATTCCGGACGCATTGCATACCTCCTTTGGTAGTTTGGGCCAAAACTGGCTTCATCGTTTACAATCCCGCCATCAAGTAAGGGGCCATCATCGGGGAAATGGAGCTGTCGACCAATATTTGGAGTTGAGGCAGCAGCTGGTAAATGATGACCAAGGCCCAGAGACATCCCAGGCAGTGTGTGTCTTTGATATGTGGGCACACTGAGCCCAATAATATCTGCTCTTTTGCCTAATCCATAATGATCAATGAACCCTTCAGCTGGATGGTGCAGTCGGGAAAACGACGGAGTGGAATCATTGTCATTGTCTTGTTTTGTTCCTGCGCACTTAAAAAAAGTAACAAGACAAGCACGAATTGCCATTAACACCAACCAAAAGACGTGTTAAAACTCTGCACGCGAATACCATACTTCAAAAGATTCCTGACAGCACTTTAATTTCAAAGATGCAATGGTGCTAAAGCACATGCATGTTAAGCATTTGCAAGAGAGAGAGAGAAAAACAATTGAACGAGGCCTACTCCCTAATCTGTTATAATACGAACATTAAACCCAATTAATGCATAAGTGGGTACTTGCAACTTGTAAAGAACCCCTCACACTGCAACAACACAAATTCTGTACAGCCAGCTCTGCAGTGTCTGCTTCTTGACATATAAAGCTTTAAAGCCACTCCTCTATCTGCTATGGAGAGGCTTCTATTTCTCCAGTTGCTTTAATAATCCATGTTTCACTGTATTCATAATGCAAGTGCTCGATTGAATTCAAAAGGCATGCAGCAAGGTGCATATTGGTGTTTAGATGTAGAGCTTAGCGATGGGTCAAAAAACATTTTAAACGATCTCTTTTGCCTCTCTGTAAAAAAATGAGCGTGACCAGCAAATAACATGAAGGCAATGTTGATCGCATGGAATTTCTAGGCGTGCAAAACAATGATATGAAAGATATACATTTTATATTGACATGTGTTTGGAAACCTCGAGTTAGCTTGAAAATATCTCGCCAGATCCTAGCAGAATTCCAGTTATTCCTAAAACCTATAAACCATCGCCCAGCCAATCAGACCATAGTCACGCATGCTAAGAGGGCTTCAACCTTTGCCTTTAAGATAGGCCCCCATCCAATGGGCAGATTTACGAACAAACCACATGATGAAAGCCTACGTGTTAAGCCACACAATGAAGGATCCAAACTGTTACTTTGCTTTTGCAAATGCTTCATACTGATAACAGAACTGTTATTCAGTAAATATTAGCCGTGTATAATCTGAAGTTGCCCACATACCTGGAGGACTTCTTGTCTTTTTTTTCCCAGCTGCTCTTTCCAAGATGGATAGAGCTGTTCCACCTGCTTTTCATACTCCAGCTAAAGTCACATCCATGTCAGTACTGTATCATTACAAATCTGTATAATGTAATATGTCCCTACTTCTACGATGAAGATGAGCTGTTTTCTAAACTTGACAATTTTGTTATGTTTCATTTTATAAAAATGTTAATGATGGAAGCTGTTCCAGGAGCTCTAGTTAACGGCGTTAATGCCGAATAACCTTTATACACGGGCTACATTTCAACCAGGCCAGCACAAGGCCCACAGCGATATCAGCACTTTACCACTTACTCTTTGACAAGCTGAGCCAAAACCAAACTGTGATCCGCTTGCCCCAACAAGACATCTGATTCTGCATCGAGGCCAATCAGGGCCAGAGATGGGGCTAGTGACGCAATAATTACTGGATACGTCATTATCACGATCCATGGATACAGTATTTGCAAAAATTTTACTTTTTCTCCCATCTATTACATGTTAAACTTCTTAACATTCATGAGGGAAATAAAAAAGATACTCTTTTAACCCAGACAATGTGAATGCCGTCACATGTAACACAGCCATCTTTGTACGTAAGTACGTTGAACTTATATTCTTGGTTCTTTCGGTAAAGTCACGTAAAAGGGAAACAATAAAATAAAAATATAAAACAAATAAAATTATCACGACGTTTCGACTGCAACACAAGCAATCATCATCAGGTGCTGTGGATTTCGCACCTGATGATGATTGCTTGTGTTGCAGTCGAAACGTCGTGAGAATTTTATTGTTTTAATTTTTTATTATTTTATTGTTTCCCTTCTACGTGACTTTACCGAAAGAACCAAGAATATGAATCCCTGCAGTCACGAAAGCTTCAAATCAAAATTTACGTTGAACTTCTTTCACACCGCATGTAGCCAACCACGCTAATCGGAGGTGCGAGGAAGGACACCACACACGAAACACAAAAAGCAGTTAACTTTAACGAGCGGGGTTTTTTTTTTTGCAGCAAATATCACGGTTCATAATTGATTTTTAAGTTCGGCCACGTAATCAACTTTTGGGGGGGGCCTTGTCAAAAAAACCAAAAACCTCCTAGATGAAGAATCGCGGCCACCTTCACACGGCGTAGAGTGTCCGTGCGGACCGCGAGCGAGGTCTCCTGTGCGTCGATTCGATCGCAATCCTGCAGCAGCTTCTGGTTTCGATGACGAGCTGCCTGCTCGCGTCCGCACACCTCCCGCAGGTAGTCCTGGAGCTTGGTCACCTTCAGCCTGGAACTGGCCAGCGTTTGTGGCCACGAATACACCTCACATTTGCCATAGTCAACGCGCACCTTTTGGTCCTAAAATTCCAGTCCTTACAAAGCACTATGTGTCCATGTTTGCCAACAAGGTACGATGCGAGATAAATAGCCGTTATACATTTTATTCATCACATCTTTACAATGCTGTAAATTTGATGCGTAGTAAATATTAATGAATAACTCACATTCTGTGGTCTGATTTGCTGTATGCAAATAACTTTCTTTCCAGCTCCAATCTTTTTTTCTCACTGAAAAAAACCCACAAATTCATCCGAAATGTTTACAGCGGTACAAGCGCTATGTATAAACTCGAAACGTGTAATTGCCATGTTATTTAAATAGCACGCTCCTGTGATGTATGTAATGTGTTCAGTTTCAATACACTGTCATGTCCCAAACGCAATTGTTCGGAATTCAAAATCCTTTAACGCAAGAAGATGCATGTGCCAATAGAACAATCTATAATACATTGTTTGATGCAATGTGTTGCTTTATTTACTATTCCGGATAGATAACATATCAGGATGTGTATGCTGTGTGTACCCTATCTGTCCTAGCATCTGACCTTATTCTATCAGCACCATACTACACCAAATAGGTGTTGTATCTCAATTAGGTAAATGTTTTATTTAAAAAAAATATCACATCTTTTTCTGCTTACAGCTGTTTGGCAGGAAGATATCGGCATGAATAGCGTTAAGGTTCCCAACACAATGCAGGCCTGTATCACCTCGGCGTGGTTTACTGCACACGTTACAGCCAATCTTACTGCTGGATGATCACGTTGATTTTGAGCTTCAGAGCTCAAAATCAGATTCTTTATTTAGACTGCGTGAGGAATCCGATGAGCTATGAAGCTCTTTTTCAACAGATGTCCAGTAGGGGCGGGTCAGCACGTTACAACAACACTAAAACACGACGGAAGCGCAAAGTATGGGAAATGTAAACAAATCGCTTTAAATATATATTTATTTATTATTAAAACTATTTTTATCTTACCGAGTAAATCCCACTAATCTATTCACTTATTCGTGATCGGCGCATTCTCGGAGATTAGACCATAGGCAGTGTGCAGGACGGTCCAGATGTCTTGCGACCCCCATTTAATTCTCTAAAACTAAAAAAAAATGCTTAATGTTTATTGAAAACAGAAATGAATATGTAGAGGGGGGAAAAAATGTTAGGGGTTAATTAATTAGGGCGTCACAAGACATCTGGGCCACCAAGTACAGCACCGTGTGCGTGTGCAAACGTTCTGTATATCAGCGTGCTTAATCGACAGTAGAGTATTAAGAACGTAGTGGAGTATTAAGAACGTTATCCCGAGCTGTTAGTAGAAAATTAATGATAAACAAGGGTTACATTGTCATCCTTTGCAATGAGAGAGGGCAGCTTTGGGTTAAAGGCCTGTACCTGCTGTGTAGCCTTTGTTGAATCTCCGACACATTCGCATAATACCCAACAGGGTTATACGACATATCTGATCAATACCGACCACACCTGCACAAATATCGTCGAAAACAACGACAATTTTAATGTCTAATTAAGCAACGCAAGGAACAATGACGTGGCCGATGCGACGAACGGCGAAGCGAGGGCGGAACTTTTTTTTTGTCCGTACGCAGCAGCGAATTGTTTCCCTCGGGCTGGGGGGGGAAGAAAAAATTAACACTCGCGCGGCTCATGGTCACGATTCCCTCGCTAAATTTGTTTATCTTAAAACACAAATCTCGTACTCGTCGTCATTACACATTACACACACACAATAGCCGCGCACCAACATCTTAATTGGAGGTTTTTTTTTGTTTGTTTTTAGTTTCCCAACATGAGTAGCTCGTGTGTGTGTGTGCGCGCTGCGTGAAATAGTTCCGTTTCGCACGCCGGGCGGGCGTCGTCAAGGCAACGCGCTCGTTACTCGGCGTGTTCAGTGAGAGAAGAATTAGCAACAACAACAACAATAGTAATAATATAAACAACAATATCAACAACAATAATAGCAACAATAATATCAACAATATCAACAGCAATAATATCAACAACAATAATATCACCAACAATATCAACAATAATAATATAAACAACAATATCAACAATAATATCAACAATAATAGCAACAACAATATCAACAACAATAGCAACAACAATAATAGCAACAATAATATCAACAACAATAGCAACAATAATAGCAACAACAATATCAACAATAATAACAACAATATCAACAATAATATCAACAATAATATCAAAATATTATTGGTTCTTTCGGTAAAGTCACGTAGAAGGGAAACATAATAATATTTGTATTATATTTTTTATTATTATGTTTCCCTTCTACGTGACTTTACCGAAAGAACCAAGAATATGAATCTGCAGTCACGAAAGCTTCAAATAAAAAAATAATAACAATATCAACAATAATAATATCAACAATATCAACAATAATATCAACAACAATATCAACAATATCAACAATAATATAAACAATATCAACAATAATAACAACAATATCAACAATAATATCAACAATATCAACAATTTCGATTTAAAGCTTTCGTGACTGCAGGGATTCATCTTCTGGGTTCTTTCGGTAAAGTCACCACGTAGAATGGGATTAAAATAATAAAAAAATAATTTTATTCTGTTATTATTTTTATTATTTTATTCCCATTCTACGTGACTTTACCAAAAGAACCCAGAAGATCAAGAACAATATCAATAATATCAACAATAATATCAACATAAACAAGGGGACGATAACGCCTCCTTCACGTATCTGTCCTTACACACCACAACAACAACAAATGTATTTATTGTACGCGGCCCATCAGCCACCACGGCCATCAGAGACTTCATCAACTGAGTAGCCGACTACATGCCGTGTCAACCCACGCGGTTTAGACTCCGTATTCTTACTCTTTGGTTCTTTCGGTAAAGTTACGTAGAAATAAAATACATCAAATAATAGAATACGACGTTTCTATTGCAAACACAAGCAGTCGTCATCAGGTAGAACTAAATTTGAGAGAGAGACAAAACAAACATGGAGACACACAGACAGACACACAAGCAGAGAGAGATAACATAGAGACATACAGGAATTAAATTTTCAGGTCCATACGGCGTACAGCCGTTTCATTAGGGGCAGAAAAAAATAAAAATGAATGCTTTTGTTTTTCTCCCTTGTGATGGGATTTTGGAGGATGAACGTTAAGATTTATAAGGGCACAGGGTGACCAATAAGGTCTGAATTGGTCTGTAATAAGGGAGGGGCACTGATAAGGGGTTGACAGGTATGAGGCTGCTGTACAATAATCTACATCATCATCATCGCGTTCCATGGCCAGATAGTCCCGTGGGTGTCCACTTTACTTTCCTCATTTGTTTCCACTTTCCTCTTTATGATTCTCCAGTAGCGCACATCTTTCTGCTACCAATATACTCAAGTAGTGCCACATCTTTCTGCCACCAATATACTCAAGTAGTGCCACATCTTTCTGACACCAATATACTCAAGTAGTGCCACATCTTTCTGCCACCAATTTACTCAAGTAGTGCCACATCTTTCTGCCACCAATATACGCAAGCAGTGCCACATCTTTCTGACACCAATATACTCAAGTAGTGCCACATCTTTCTGACGCCAATTTACTCAAGTAGTGCCACATCTTTCTGCCACAATTATTCTCAAATAGTGCCACGTCTTTCTGCCACCAATATTCTCAAGTAGTGCCACATCTTTCTGGCACCAATTTACTCAAGTAGTGCCACATTTTTCTGACACCAATATACTCAAGTAGTGCCACATCTTTCTGACACCAATTTACTCAAGTAGTGCCACATCTTTCTGCTACCAATTTACTCAAGTTGTGCCACATCTTTCTGACACCAATTTACTCAAGTTGTGCCACATCTTTCTGACACCAATTTACTCAAGTAGTGCCACATCTTTCTGGCACCAATATTCTCAAATAGTGCCACATCTTTCTGGCACCAATTTACTCAAGTAGTGCCACATCTTTCTGGCACCAATTTACTCAAGTAGTGCCACATTTTTCTGCCACCAATATACTCAAGTAGTGCCACATCTTTCTGACACCAATTTACTCAAGTAGTGCCACATCTTTCTGCCACCAATATACTCAAGTAGTGCCACATCTTTCTGACACCAATTTACTCAAGTAGTGCCACATCTTTCTGCCACCAATATACTCAAGTAGTGCCACATCTTTCTGCCACCAATATTCTCAAGTAGTGCCACATCTTTCTGGCACCAATATTCTCAAGTAGTGCCACATCTTTCTGACACCAATTTACTCAAGTAGTGCCACACCTTTCTGGCACCAATATACTCAAGTAGTGCCACATCTTTCTGACACCAATTTACTCAAGTAGTGCCACATCTTTCTGGCACCAATTTACTCAAGTAGTGCCACATTTTTCTGCCACCAATATTCTCAAGTAGTGCCACATCTTTCTGACACCAATATACTCAAGTAGTACCACATCTTTCCGACACCAATTTACTCAAGTAGTGCCACATCTTTCTGACACCAATTTACTCAAGTAGTGCCACATCTTTCTGACACCAATATACTCAAGTAGTGCCACATCTTTCTGCCACCAATATACTCAAGTAGTGCCACATCTTTCTGACACCAATTTACTCAAGTTGTTGTCCAACCTGCATGTGTCCAAATCATCGACACACAGCTATTTTCATTGCTGTACTCTACCTGGTTCATGAGTTAATCCAGCGCTTCGCAACCAGTGTGCTGCGATATTTAAGGAATTGCAGGATATAACCTCACTGATCACAAGCTAGGACAATTCCCGCACCGATTAGCACAGTTGGCTATGTACGGTGGCGACATAAGGTTGAACATACATACATACAGTACATACACGAACTTTCCATGCGGTTCAGTGGATGATCCAGCCAACCACCCCTCCACCTCATGCCCTCCTCTCTCCATGGGTCACAAGATGCAAGGTTGGACCAGTGTTGGTCCAACGTTGATACGACGTCCCATATTTACTGGGTCTATATATGCGTCAATGTCGAGAATGAGGGAGACATGTTAAATACATTTTTGTTTACAACGACCCACTTTTTCAACTTCAAAACTTAGTTTTACTAACGCTATCTCTGCCACGAATGCCATCATCCGTCTAAAAGGTGGTCTCAAGGGGGCTACTGTCTGTCACGAACGAATTTATAAATTGTGCTTTACAGGTTTTTTTTCCACACTGCACTTAGCTCAACCCATTTTGTTTATCCACAATATTACAATGCAATGCTGTGTTTATACTCACACATTTGCAAAGCCATGCCAACAGCTGTTCACCTGATTCGAAACAAAGCTGTCGTCTAAATCAATGTCGTGGTCACAAAGCTTCATAAGAATGATCAGCTGACATGTGGTACACCCAATTTAATCTAATTAGACGTTAAGGTAGGCTAATTGTAAAATGTCCGCATTTACATTACCGTACTGTAGTTGCTTGGCTGATTAGGACAACAAACTGATGCGTGTTTGGTAGGCAATTCCTACCAAAAACACACCATTGCGACATGTATACGACATGCTCGTTTCTTGAACACATAATCAGTATTCATAGAAAAGCATCGCCGGTGCGTTGTTGGTTTTATTAATGGTTGATTTACGTTGGACATTTTGAATATATTTACACTAAAATCCTTCGCCTCAATGAGGCCGTGAAAGACTTTGTGATTTTCTTTCGCTGCTCCTTATAATGCAGTGATTTACATGCAACAATTGAACAATGGCAAATACAATTTGTCAATTTGGAACGTCGTACCCTCGCTCGTGGGGGACCATATACTCTCTTGATGTCCTATACAGGTCCACATTTGTAAGGCATTATTTATAAGTTCAGTATCACTTGACAATTGCAATACATATTGCCAGTATTTGAGTTTTTTATTTAAAACTTACTCTACAGAACTCTGCAGGAGAAATCTGCGATCCTGCGGGAGACCTAATATCACGAATCATATCATCCGTTGTGTCATCTTCGATTTCACTTATCATTTGTAAAAAAATATATATGGATAATCTCAAGAAATAAGAAGAATAGGTTGGCCGGGGTAATGGAAGTTTTTTTTTTCGAACCTTACAGCTGCCATGGATAACAAGACCCACGGGTAATAGGGTGGCAGATAAAAAGGAGTTATGTAGTTAACAATGAGGCAGCAACACATGACTCCCCTCCATATTTAATTTAGACTTTCGCATCAGTCAAATCCTGTAATCGGTGTTGGGTGACCACATTAGCGTAGGTTTAGTTAGGGCTTAGTTTCCATTACCTGCACCATGAACCATACAGTCCCCGCAGGTACATACACGGAGTCACAGGGAATTCAGTAAAACACAGACCGCAAGTTGCACCAGGGTGTTATGTCTTCTAACACATTTCACCATTGTCAAGGAACACTGCACTCACAGTGTTCTTCAGAAGTCCACATGCAATGAAATTAGTGCCCCTTTGCACACGCGTCCTCGTTTCTGCTTATTGCTTGGATATTTAGTGTTTCTCAACGGTGTAATATGTGTCTCTGCTCAACGCGCCTGGTGCATGGCTCAATGCGTCTGGTAGCTTTTCCAATTTTCAACAACGGCTTTCTTCTTACATTGTTGGACGAGTGAAGGCGCTTACAGTAGCAAACACACACACACACAATAACACGGAGTAAGCTGGTCCATTCCCAGGGAATGTGGGCCCGACATTGTGTGTGGTCTGACCACCAAGCGTTTTTTTTTTTTCCCAGGGATTAAGCCGTGTAG